TGACAGGATAAAAATGGATACCCTAAAATCTTTTTCAGTATTTTAAATATCAGTAAAATATCAGTCTCAAACATGTTTAGCTTAGGAAATATTAGGGGCATTTGAAATGGAGTGATCATGAGCTAGACACACAGATGCTGTGGGAATTCCCTGGGAACCAAGGTCTGGGCCTCTCCAACTGGAGCATCCACTGAGCGTGCTCAACACAGTCAGGCGCTTCCTATGGGCAGAAGTTCCTTTCTTTGTTTCTCCAGGGTCACTGAATGTAGTATCAACTGCTGGAGTGACTTCGCAGTACTTCCCATGCCCTCCCCTCCTTCCTCTGGAGTCCCTTCCTTTACTCTGTTGGTCTCCTTTCTATTTTTGTGAAATTCCTCTTTTATCCTTTCTCCTGTCTCTTTAGCTTCCACATATGGGTCAGAACCTCACTTAGATATACAATTATAATGCACTAATTAAAATGATAATGATAATAACAGAAAGGAGATCAGGAAAGTTGAGCAAGCAGATGGGGGAGGGAGGAGGAAAAGGGGAAAGTTCCAGGGAATGAGATTGATCAAATTATCTTAAGTGCATACATGAATATGACCTAATGAATCCCAATATTATGTTAATTATAGTGTACCAATAAAAAGTTTCAAAAAATTAAACTTTAATAATAATAATAATAATAAAAATAATAAAAGGTCACTGGAGTCTGGGCCAATGAGTGGGACATTCACCAGGTAAACGAAAGCTCTCAGAATGACTGGCAGTAGCAGGATGTTTCTCGGAATTGTCTAGACTGTTCTATTTTTAATAGGCTTCCTTTGTAACAACTACAGAAACTCCAGAGGACAAAGAACTGGAAGTTTTTGCTGCTTAGGCTTATTGGTTCTTAATAGATTTCACCCTTAAGTGCTACCTCGCTCTGCCCAGCAGGTGGCAGTAAGCCATTATGAGATATACTGGGACACACACACACAAAAGTAAGGGACCTTGGAGCTGGTTTACTTAGGGCTGCTTGGAAAAGCAGCTCCAAGAGCATACTGGATAGACTGTGAATCTGAAGCTAGCTTTTAATCCAGAGGGCAAATGAACTACTGTTTTATTTGGTGCTTCTAAACTGACGAAGC